GAACGTGTAATCACACCACTGGAACTACCTTTTACGATCTTTTACTGCTAGCTCATTCGTTTTATGGATATATTTTTTTCTCTGTGTAAACTCTTGAGTCTATCCACATTACGTATACGACCCGTGGCACCAAAGCTAAATACTTAACTACGTATGTACATTAATGCTTTTGTATTGCTAGTAAAGCGCTGGCTATCCTTTGCATGTAACGAAGTTTACACACACACCCAGGTATACGTATGTATATGCGTGTGGACATAAATACGTATGTATGTATGGATTTTCATAGTTGAATGTGCGCACAAACTGCAAAGGAAGAAACAGAGAAATAAAACTAGCATATAACTGCCTACTTACATGCAATTTTCAGCTATATGTAGAACGACTAACTATAAAACAGCAAATACCGAGCCAAAGCAATTTCGGGGAGATGCAACACTTATGATTAATATATACATAAATATGTATATGTAGAAGTTGAGCGCTAGCGGGGGTAATGGCAAAGGATTCAGACGACTTTAGCAGGAAATTACAACTAAAGTGGTAAAATGACGACAGTCTACTCACGGCACACGACTTACGTCATACAGTCAGCAGACTTGCCATCATCGTCATCATCCACATCATACTCTTCCATCAGCGATGAGCCTTGATGATCATTACCTTTTATTTGCTTATTTAGTTAGCAAGTAACAATTAGACAAGTGACTACCTTCGTATGGGTAGATTAAGTGAAGAAGTAGAAACGTGAAAAAGGAAAAAAACCAACACGCTATACTCGTATTCATACATTTATTAGCTGGCGGCGGTTTGGAAACTGTTGGTGTTGCATTGGTGTAGGTGCAATTAGTCGGAGTAATATGTACATACGTACATATATGTAAGTGTTGGCGTGTATTAGTTCCCAGATGGAGAATTTTGCCATTCGCAAAACGGATGGAAATTAAGTTAATTTTCAGTTTTCACTCTAATTGATAGTTAACTAACCGAGCAAAGATTCTCGACACTGGCATGTGCATATGTATATATGTATCTATACTTATGTATACATACCACATATAGCATATCGTCAACTGAGTGGAAGATCGACCTATCGCGGCAGCCAGCTTGACAACGTCCTATCTCAGAAAGCTTTTGAAGAACGCCCTACTTCAGAATTTTTCCCAAAGACGCGCTATAAAACAATCAATGTATTTTTTTCGGAGTCTTTTCGGAACCCATTTATATTTTTCGGAGTCGTTGAGAATTTTTCGTACTCTTTTGAAATTTTCGTTTTTTTTTTTAGTTCGTTTGGAGTCTTTTTCGGGGTCTTGCTTTAGTTCTTCGGGTTATTTATTGAATTTTTTCGAAGTCCTGGAATTAGTCTCTGTCTTGTGACGATTTTCGTAGTCTGGAAGTATTTTTGAATCTCTGATTTTTCAAAGCCTTTCCGATTTTTTGGAATGTTTTGATTTTTTTGAGTCTTTTTTTAATTTTCAGAGTCTTTTTTCATGGTAATCTTTAATATTTCGGAGTACTTAATGAATTTTTTCGAAGTCTTGGAGTGTCTCCATCTTGCAACGATTTTTGGAGTGTTGGCATATTTCGGAGTCGGTTTAAATTTTTTTTCTTTTGAGTCTTTGTTTATTTGGAATTTTTTTATTTTTTCTGATTCTTTTTGATTTTTCGGTGTCTTTCGGAACTTTTCGAATTTACCTTTTAATTTTTCATTTAAAATTTTTAGGAATTCCGTTTGTTCCGACTCCTCGATTTCTTCAATTAACGCATCAAAAAGCATGACATTCAATTTTTGGAGACCACTTCGCAGTCGTTATATGAATTTTTTTAACGTTCTTTTGATTTTCGAAACGGCTTAGGTTTTGAAATTAATTGCTACGTAATCTCAAATGGTTTTCAGTATAAAGATGAGAATCGAACGATTTTTTGTATGTTTTTGATGTCGAAAAATGTATTTATGCAAATATGTAATCTCCAAAAAGCAGATGTTTCCTCACCAGGCATTTGTAAAGCTCCGAGTGTAATTTTTTCCACGGCAAAGCTTCTCTTAAGGAATCCATTTGAAGGAATCCTTACATGTGTATATTTATGTAGAGATCTATTGCGCATTCAATTATTGTTTTTCATTTTATAAAGAAAAGTCCTGAATGCTCCAAAGCATTCTCAATAGAAGTACCTTGTCAAATCCTTTAATCTTAGAGACAAAACATGTGTGCATATATACATACAAACCTACATACATATTGTTACATGGCTCAATACTGCAACATTAATATATATGTTCGTACATATGTATGCATGAATAATTTAAATGTGTGTGTAAGCACCCACAAGGCAGACATCCTCGCTTTCCTTTTTTTATTTATTTAGCCCAAAAAGTATTCCTGCAACACCAGCTAAATAGAGTGCTGGAGGCACATTGGTACGTAAGTTGAAAGTAAAATGGAAAATCAATATTTAATTTCGGCAAAGTATGTGAAAAACGAAAACTGTGAGAAGGAAAGTGGTGGATGAAGAAATAAGAAAATACAAAAAAAAAAATAACGCAACTTAAGCACTAACTCACCAACCTATAGCAACAACAGCAAACACGGTAACCTGGAGCTCCGCAACGAAATGAAACGCCAAAAAAATCATTGCGAAGTGAAATTTTAGCACGTCGAACAAAAACAAACATTGGTACATACATAAATCACTCAACGCGCTTTGATTATTTTAGCGCGCAGGTAATGAGAATGAAAGTTCGCAGGATATTTCAGCTGGTATGCGTAAGGTATGCCGCGGCTTATGTACGCATACCTATTCGTCACCTTTGAAATATGTATTTTTGCTCATTTTACCAAAATTTTTTGTACATGTCTGCATTTTAGCAACCGTTCTTTTCGTAATGTGCGCACCACCCTTCGTCACTGCTTTATTTTGTTATTATTATTTGGATTGTTATGAGTTTCAGCATGGTGCGGCTGGCGCTACAAAACGCACACAAACAGGTTGCGGAAATGGCAAGCGTTTTTGCGTAGGCAATGTCGGGGAAGTTGAGGTGTGCGAAAGCAAATAAAAGGCGTAGTAACTGAAATAAATGAGCGATGGCGATGTTAAAGCAGGCAAGTCAAATGGACGAACAAATGCTGGTTTTTGCGGAAAGCGCGTACATACATAAGCATGTATGTATGCACATACATATGTATGAGTAATAAGAGGAAAGGACCATTTGGTTTTTGATATCGTAACTAGAAATCATGCCAATTACAGCGTGCGGGAATTTAAATGAGGCTAAGCACCGAAGACTGATTTTTCGGCAATGAAAACAAAAAGATATATAGACAAGGACATATACACATATACAAATGTATATCGGTAAATTGGAATGAAAGGTAGCTAAGTACAGTTTTTCAAAGAGCGAATGGGGATGGAGTTCCAGAAACAAGTACACTAAAAAGGTATTCAAGTATTTGAAAAATTTGGGCGAAAATTTACCGCAATTACTTATTTTTTCATTGTAACTCGATAAAATCATATTTTTTCCTCTTTTTAATAACTTTGGGAAGTTTTCAAGTAAAATGTTCATATTAGAGGCAATGGACATTGGCATCAAATACAACATATCTGTGAAGTTTCAAGAGTGCACCACGAAATTAAAAAAAAAATTTAAAAGAAAATTGCAACATGCAGAATATCTGGCGTAGCAATTTTGTAATTTTTGAAATTTAAGTTAATGCGTGCGAGTAAAGCTGTTAGATGACTGCGTATAGTGATACGCAGCGTATACGTTACATACGCAATAACGCACTTGTTGTAGTCCAAAAAAAACAAAAAAAAAATCTGGGACTCTAACTCTCTTTTCGTCCGGGCTGCATTTAAATACTCTACTTCATTCTTATCATTCATTCGTCTATTCGAAGGATATTTCACGTTCAAGCAACCCTACCGTTTCTTATATTTTTTTTTTCAAAATAATTATATTCCTGGATTCTATACGTTCCAATATAATGCCAATATTGCAGAGCGAGATATTTTTGAGCGCCTGAAGGGTGCTGTAAACAATTCTGAAAGTCTTAAAGGATTCGAGAATTTTTCCAACACACAACACGTTTTATATACAACAAAGCAGCGACTGTGAAACGTGTAATAACGAAATATGGTACTTGTAAAATTTCGTATAGAAATCTGCAAATGGCAACATTTTCTGAAACCTGAAATAAAGAAATAGGAATTACGGACCACAGTGATGCTTTGTAAAAATTGCATATGGAGGAATAGGCGTCCTGTGAATTGAGCCTGCTAGTCGTGGTATAAATTCTTAAATTTTCTGAGAAAATATTAGTCATCAAATTTTGCGCCACATTAAAAAAAAAATCAAATTTTATGGTTGAACTTTCAAAACTCACTTGACTTGAGACGTCACCCTCTTCAACTCAAAAAAAAAATGGTTCAATTTTTTTGCACAAAAACTACTTTTGTACCGGCATTTGTATTAATTTTCGGATCTGGTTTTTAAGTTGTGCCTCTTTTAAAGAGGCTGTGCTATATGTTAATTAACCATAACTTTGGTAGCCATTAGCCGAAACAAATACCCTTAGAAAATCAAGTTCAATTGCCAGTCACAAACAAAATGGCGTCGTTTGATAGATTAGGAATAGAGTAAAGATAATTTCTCTCAGAAAATAAATAAAAAGTATTTTCGATAAATATATCCCATATAAATAGAGTTTTCCTAGGATGTACCTTTTACTGAAGTCAAACTAGATTTTTATAATTCAAAGAGCCTCATTTTATGGATCATTCGAGTTTTTCACAATAGGTCAAAATCATAGCAGCCATAAAAGCCCAAAGGCCCGCATTGCGCAACGTCGCAGATTTTTTTGTTTCCATTCCATCCACACTCTTCTGACCAT